GTAAAACATCATATTTGAACCAAACTTGCTTAGCAATATTGTCAAGGAACTGCTATGATTATTAAATAAGCAAGTATTGTTTGGCAATATTGACCTGAGACTCATTAATTTTCGGGATGTGTTTCGTTAGTTTACGTAAATTATTATGATTAATACTAAAGATTTTATTGATAGTTTAGATCTCGAATTTAATCAATTAATATTGCTCGATGGCCTAGTGGTAAGTATGACGAAGTTGTGACCTAGTAGGCCAAGTTTGAATCTTTGAAAATCTTTTTTGTAGTTTTCATAAAATTATTTTTTATTAATTCTTTTAACTATATGAAACTTAAGTTGATAAATCGTGTGTTTCATTTCTAGCATTTTTTCATTTCATAAGTTTGAATAATTTTGTAAGGCGGGTGATATGCTTGTAATTCTACTTGTATTTCACCTTATACATTTACCGTTATATCAGACATCGAAATCTGTATTATATATTTCAGAATCTGATAATTACCGCCAAATAATTAACGGTCAACCTCAGCAAAACTATTGAACGTTGGCAAAAAGGGCGAACTATAACCCTTTACCAAGAAAAAATGAAAAAGGTTTTGAAAATTTATTATTTAATGTGTAAATTATGAGTATACAGACCTTTCTAATGATATAAAATATGAAACTGATTAATGAAAGATAACTTTGTAATTATTTATGCAAAATTACTATGATTTGCATCTTATCAGCCGCCATACATTTGCCAACTATTTACAAGTTACATGTATGTCTCATCAGAAAACTGTTACTATTATTACAATAACATACAACGTGTAGTCACGTGATTCTTACAAAAGAACAGGGAGAATTTGTTTATAATTAGATAAAATAATGAAATGTAATAGGTCTCATAAGATATAAGAAACCAAATAATTTGAAAGTGTCATTTCAAATATCATTCATGATCTATCTATCATAAAATAGCAACGTTTGACACTTAGAAAAAAGAAAAAGTATCCCTAAATTCAATGACTGGTCCATAGAGATACATTATAAATTCAATTTTTGAAAATTGTAAATTGCTTTTTAAGATGTCAATATTTGTATATTTCATTTCATTAAGCAACGTTATCTTATGTGTGAATTTTTAAGATTATGAAAAATAATTGTGGTCCTTAATTGTTCAATAACTGATTTGTTTTTACATTCAGATTTTAAGGCCTTCTCCTACCATAGATATAATATTAAACTGTTACAAATATGGTTTCTACCGGCGACTAATAACAATTATTTTAATCAAAGCGCTGAAAGTGCTGTATGCGGTAAGCCCGAGAATTGTAAAGCATAGGTAGTCAGACTATTTTCCGCCTTTTGACACCGAAGGAATTTCAATTAACTGTTAAACCTACCGCCTGTCACGCCATTTTACATACAATTGATACTGAGAGGTATGTAACCTGTTTACTCTACTTGAAACTCAACTGACAAGAATAGCCCTTCGTCTGCTACTTCGGAAACTGTTTATCGGTTATTCAAATTCCATGAGAAATTCAGCACAATTCAAATGCTATGAGAAATTCAGTGTCATTCAAATTCCATGTGAAATTCAGTGTGCTTCATATTCCATGAGAAATTCAGTACAATTCAAATTCTATGTGGGATTCGGTGTGCTTCATATTTCATGTGAAATTCAGTGCATTTCAGATTCCATGTATTATTCAGTGTAAATCAAATTCCATGTAAATTCAACACAATTTTAATCAATGTACAATTCTATTATTTAATATCAAATTTGTATTTATACCATGAGAAATTCGGTATGTTGCAAATCCATCCATCTCTGAATATATGAATACTGAACAAGGTTTAAAATGTAATTTATTGGGTTATATAATATGGAAAAGACGGCAATCCAAAAATAAATTTACAGACTTACAACTATCAAAACTTAAAAAAGGCCTGCATGAAATACATTTAACAGCCACAGCAAACAGTACAAGAGCCATGTCAACATGGCCATCCCCCGCCAAATGTGTTTGCTCATTGGAAGAATGTATATGTGTTGTAGAGCAGAATAATTCCATTTTAAGAGGTCTTTTGGTAATGAAAACTGATGACTGAAGTGATAACAGATTTGAAACCTATGTGAATACTGATGGCTGAAATACCTGAAAAAATAATGCAGGGTAGGTTATCATTCTTGTGTGCGGCATCCCTCCTCAGTAAAATCTATCCACCTATGAAGTTTCAAGTTGATACCTCAAATACTTTTTGAGATGAAATAGTATAAAAAAGAACAAAGGGCAATAACTAAAAAAATATATAGGGAAGAGTTATCATTCTTGTGCACAGCATTCCTCCTGAATAAGATCTATCCACCTATGACATTTCATGTTGACATCTCAAACACTTTTGAGTTATGCTCAACTCGGGTGAAAAGTTAAGTATGAAAAATAATAAAGGGAAAAAAATCAAAAATTATAAAAGGTAGAGTTATCATTCTTCTGCACTGCACACCTCCTGAGTGAGATCCATGCACCTATGAAGTTTCATGTTGATATCTCAAAGGCTTTTTGAGTTATGCTCTAGACAAAAATTAATTATGAAAAATAACAAAGGTCAATAACTCAAAAATTATGCAGGGTAGAGTTATCATTCTGACTTGTGCACTGCACTCCTCCTCAATGAGACCCATCCACCTATGAAGTTTCAAGTTGATACCTCAAATACTTTTTGAGATAAGCTCCGGACAAAATAGTATGAAAAAGAACAAATGGCAATAACTCAAAAGTTATATAGCAAAGAGTTATCATTCTGGCACACAGCATTTCTCCTAAATAAGATCTATTTATCTATGACATTTCATGTTGACATCTCAAAAACATTTTGAGTTAAGCTCTACTCAGGTGAAAAATTAAGTATGAAAAATAACAAAGGGCAATAACTCAAAAAATATGAAAGGTAGACTTAACATTCTTGTGCACTGCATACCTCCTGAGTGAGATCTATGCACCTATGAAGTTTCATGTTGATATCTCAAAGACTTTTTGAGTTATGCTCTGGACCAAAATTAATTTTGAAAAATACCAAAGGGCAATTACTCAAAAAATATGCAGATAGAGTTATCATTCTTATGCACTGCACTCCTTCTCAATGAGGTCTGTCCATCTATGAAGTTTCAAGTTGATACCTCAAATACTTTTTGAAATATACTACGACAAAAATGTCGGACGGAAGGACGGACGGAAGGTCGGACGGACGGATGGAGACTATTTCTATATCCCCCGCCGCCTTTTCGGCGGGGGATAAAAATGCAATCTACTATAAATGTGAATATACAATACAATATCAAAACATCATTCATGTAAACAAGCCAAGCAAAAGTAGTTAACGATGAAATTGATAAACTGAAAAAAGTAAAATCACGCCTTATTCCTGGAAAAATGCACGCTTGCAAAAATAATGTATGCAGATGTAACGTTTTAAGGCACACACATATTGTCGGTGAAAAGCTAGCTCACCACTGAGAGTGGTTTATGCCCTTATATATTTGATACTTTCCTGTACCTTTAGTTTTTGCATATTGTAATGCTCATTATGAGTATTATGACGTTCCACTACGGAAGACCGAATTCACGATTTCACGACTTCATTATTTCATTTATTCAGGTTTTAAAGAGAAATCGTGAAATTATGAAATCGCGAATTCATGAATTCACGAATTCACGATTTCATTTTTTAAAGTTAAATCGTGAAATAATGAAATCGTGAATTCATGAATTATACACGATTTCATTTTTTCATTTATTCAGGATTTTTATTAGAAATTGTGAAACTATAAATCGCAAATTCATGAATTCGCGATTTTATTATTTCACAGTTTCACGATTTCATTATTTCTTTTATTCAGTTTTTTTAAGAGAAATCGTGAAATTATGAATTCACGAATTCACGATTTCAAAATTCAATTTTTCACTTTAAATGTAATGGAATATTAAAATCCTGAAATCATGAATTCGTGACCGTGAAATTTCACCACCGGTCTTTCGTATTCTACCAACGTCGTTTCAAAGATATATTCATGCGCGATACTGCTAAACATTCAATTATCACTTCTTCACGACAAATCCTTAATGAACATTTGTAAAATAAAGTAAAATACATTGACATATATTTATTTGTATAAGTTAAGCCTAAAACAAAATAACACTTGCACTTTGTACGACCTAATCACACGAAACCACGATTGTTCACAATTTCCACGCAGTAATTCTTCGGCGTAGACTGTACCTATAAAAGGGAGTAGTTTGGATTGTTCCGGAATTCAGCGAAGTAACATCGGGTGTACTTATACAAGCATATGTTAATATTTTCAAAAATGTTTATTCTCACAATCTCATTCGAGTAATCAAAATCACATAAAATTACATTATGATATAATGGCCCAGCACATGAAAAATCTTCGAATCATTGTTAATTGTTTGTTTCATTTTGAGAACTATTTGTACTGCGCAGCAGCAAATAAGCGTTAGTTCTTTGGCTGTTTTCCTCAAAATTTGATCAGTCTCTCCAGATGTTGTTATAACTAAAGCGGCTTACCGCAAAAAAACGAACTTGACATGATGTCAAGGCAACAATAAAATTCTTCGTATACATGTAATTATAAGTCTGCATTCAATTTGTTGAAAAGCTGCATATCATGTTTTTGGGTTTTTCTAACATCGTGTATCTGACGGTTTATTGTCACAACCAGAGAGATTGCTGTTTTCCTGCTTATCATCTGTATCAGGGACTTTACTGCAAAAAAGGAGATTGGTAATCGTTATCGTTATCCTCAGAATAATCGCAAAATAATAATAATTTTAATGATTGAAAATGTTTATTTGCTAACATCACTAATATACCATAATATTCATTCAATGATCAATTTTGTTATCACGAGTTTCTGTTCACTTTAAGAAGCAATCTATAAACGAAAGATTTAAATTTTTCATCATACTGATATATAATACTTATTACCGTACCTTGTATTTGGATTGACATCATTACTGTCTTGTATATCGTATATATTTTCTCCTAAGTAAGTCGAATTATCAAAATCTTTTCCTTAAAAAGATGGATAAAATAATAATAATTACATTCATGGAATTTATAGATAAATAATCAATTTGTTCCTAGAAATGTATCAATTCGTTCAATTGTAAAATTGTTTGTTTCAGTTGTATTTTAATTGCATAAAATTATTTGTTTAAAGACCCGTTAAGTCTCAGAAATGATGTCATTTTTTTCACAAAAGCTTTAAACTTTTAATATCTTGCTACAGTTTACAAAACTAAATACTGATTCGTCCTATAGATGTATTATCTTTGCTTATTTTCCTTTGTTGGTAACTGGTTTACATACAGTGAAAAAGTATTTTGTAAGGTCGCGACAATACTACTTTGTTTACATGTTGCCACCTTTATGACATATTACTGCACATTTAGCGCTATTTTCTTAGGCCTGTAGGCTGTTAACATGTAGCATCCACTAAATCGATTTTTAATCATTATCAAACACATGTTTGACGTTTCTAAAGAATTTCATCTACATGGATTTCTGAGGCATAAAGAGTCTTAAACATTAATCCTTACACACTTTAATCTTTGTAGGCTCGGCAAGTATTTGTGGTAAATAAATTACACGAAAAAATAAATATGCTAGGCAAAAAAGGTGACGCAATAAAACCTTTCCTGAATGTAATTACATTTCGGCTTGTAATTAAGAGAATCTACGAGATATCCATAAGACTTTAAGAAATGGTAACTAAGCTGTAAAATGCTAATCAGTGGATGGGAAAATATTTAAACGCAAGCTCAAAGTCAAAGTGGTTGCACATCAGATCAAAACTTTCTAAGTAGCGTTTGTATCATTGCTTAGTTTAATAAAATCGTATTATTGACACATATAAGTTCTATGATAAAACACAACGAACGTTTCGTGAAATAAGAGAAAGTAGATTTTATAGTTAAGCTGTAGCAGTTATTTTGAATTAACCGCCACGGTTTTATTACTTTTGCCACTGGTTTATTACTGTACTATTTATGTAAAGCGGTTGGTAATATACTCAATATACATGTTCTTTAGCAAGCTTAAATACATATTTAAACAGTATTCTTAATGCACTAAAATCTTTGTAGGCTCGCCAAGTATTTGTGGTGACAATTTATATGAAAAAAAAACAAAAAAACAAATATGTTAAGCAAAAAGGCTGACTCAATGAAAACGAGCAGAAATGAAGTTATATTTCGGCTTGTTATTAACATAATGTACGAGAATTGAAGTCTTTCAACAATGGATACAAAACTGTTACATTCAAATCAGCGGATACAAAAAAACTTCAGGCAAGTTCAAAGCTGCATATTATCTTTTTTGTGTGTCTTTCTAACCTTGTGTTTCTGACGGTTTATTGTCATTTTCCGAGTGATTGCTGTTTTCCTGCTTCCCGTGTGTATCACCAACTTCATCAGGTACCTTACTGCAAAAATAGAGATTAATAATCGTTATCGTTATCAACAAAATGGTCGCAAAATAATATCATTGAAAATGTTTATATGCTTACATCATTAACCTACCATGATATATATTTAAATTTGAATGATCATAGTTACTGTTAACTTTAAAGAGCAATCAATAAACGAAAGATTGAAACTTTTTATCATACTGATACTGATATAACACATATTACTGTACCTTGTATTTGGATTGACATCATTACTGTCTTGTATATCGTTATTTTCTTCTAAGAAAGACGCATTGTCAAAATCATTTCCTTCAAAAGATGGAGAAAATATTAATAATTACGGTCATGGAATTAATACATAAATATTCAATTTGTTCAAAGAAATGTATCAGTTCCTTAAGAAGATGGAGAAAATAATAATAACTACGGTCATCGAATTGAAAGATAAATATTTAATTTATTAATTAGTTCAATAGCACAGTTGTTCGTTTCAGTTGTATTTAAATTGCAATAAATTATTTGTTTAAAGACCCGTTAACAAAAACTTTAAACTTTTGATATTTGCTTCCGTTTACAAAAAAAATATCAATTCGTCCTAAAGATGTATTACCTATGCTTCTTTCCTTCGTTAATAATTGGGTTACTTATAGTGAATAAGTATTTGGTAAGGACGTCCAAATACTTCTTTGATTACATGTTGCTACATCAATCACATACTACTGCCCATTTAACGCTATTTTCTGATACTGGTTAACATCTAAGATACGCTTAATCAATTATTTGAACATTATTAAACACATCTTTGGCATTTCTAAAGAATTTCATATAAAATATTTTTGAGACATAATGTGTCTTTAAACAATATTCTTTAAGCACTATAATTTTTGTAGGCCTGGCAAGATTTTGTAATGAATAAATTATACGAAAAAAAAATCATGTTAGGCAAAAAAGGTGACGCAATAAAAACGAGCAGGAATGGAATTACATTTCAGCTTGTAATTAACAGAATTTACGAGAAATTCATTAGACTTTTAACAATGCGCTGTTACATGCTAATCAACGGTTGAAGATAATTTCACGCCAGTTCAAATTCGCAATTGTTGCACATCAGATAAGTATTATATAAGTAGCGTGTTCATCATGGTTTCGATTGATTTTTGTTGAAACATATATATATTATATATATATATATATATATATTTGTTAAAATTCAGCGAACATTTCTTGGAATAAGAGTTAAAATAGATATAAACAGAATCCCTAAAGAAAGCCCAACACGGCGAAATTGAAAATGTTGCAGGCTCGGTTTAATTGAGCCTGTTCATGGACGGTACTGGAAAGTGCAAGTTACCGTCCACGCCCATTGGCACCGGCTTAAGCAGAATTCAACATTAAACATGAACTGGTACAATTTGGAATTTTGAAACATCCGCAGATGTGTTATATGGCGGTCATCATGGAACCTTCAATGTGACAAGTAAGTGCCATTCCATGAAAAGCGGCATATGGTCCCCAAGTAAACAAATGCATGTGCCCTAAACGAGAAAACAATGGGCGGAACTTAATAAAATGGAATTTTGAAAGGGGATCAGAGGTTATGAAGTCTGCATATCACAGATAATACGTCAAAAGACAAATTTAAAAAGCAGGCCACATATCCTAAGGGTGATTATACAGTATTCAAGTAGGAATACTGGAACCACCCAAGTTGAAAAAGGTCAAATAGAAGAAACTAGAAATACCACATAACATGAATACACAACAATTATGTTGATAGTTAAGTTGTAGTAGTTATTTTGAATTAAACGTGGCGCTTTTATTTTCCTTTCACTGGTATATTAATGAAATACTTATGTAAAGCGATAATGTACCCGAATTACTCTAACAAGCTAAATTCATATTAATATTTTTAAATGTTATTCTCTGGTTTATATTATTTACTGCAAATAATAATAATCAGTAAAGAACGAACTTGAAATGAAGACATAGATGCAAAAACATTCTTCATGTATCATAATTAGTTTCCATTCAGTTTGTCGAAAAGCTGCATATTATGTTTTTGTGTGTCTTTCTAACCTTGTGTTTCTGACGGTTTATTGTCACTTTCCGATTGATTGCCGTTTTCCTGCTTCCCGTGTGTATCACCAACTTGATCAGGTACCTTACTGCAAAAATAGAGATTAATAATCGTTATCATAATCAACAGAATGATCGCAAAATAATATCATTGAAAATGTTTATTTGCTTCCATCACTAACGTACCATAATATTAATTTAAATTTCATTGATCATTTCTGTTACCATTAGTTTCTGTTAACTTTAAAGAGCAATCAATAAACGAAAGATTTAAACTTTTTATCATACTGATACTGATATAACACATATTACTGTACCTTGTATTTGGATTGACATCATTACTGTCTTGTATATCGTTATTTTCTTCTAAGAAAGACGCATTGTCAAAATCATTTCCTTCAAAAGATGGAGAAAATAATAATAATTACGGTCATGGAATTAATACATAAATATTCAATTTGTTCAAAGAAATGTATCAGTTCCTTAAGAAGATGGAGAAAAAAATAATAACTACGGTCATGGAATTGATAGATAGATATCAAATTCATCAATTCGTTCAATAGTATCAATTGTTCGTTTGAGATGTTTTTAAATTGCACACAATTATTTGTTTAAAGACCCGTTAAGCCTAAAAATTCCTCTAATTTTTATTTCACAAAAACTTTAAACTTTTGATAATTTGCTACCATTTACGAAAAAAAAAGATACTGATTCGTCCAATAGATGTCTTATCTTGGCTTCTTTTCCTTCGTTAATAATTGGTTTACTTATGGTGAATAAGTATTTTGTAAGGACGTTCAAATACTTCTTTGATTACATGTTGCTACATTAATCACATACTACTGCCCATTTAGCGCTATTTTCTGATACTGGTAAACATCTAAGATACTTTAAATCCATTATTTGAACATAATTAAACACATCTTTGACATTTCTAAAGAGTTTCATACAAATGACTTTTTGAGGCTAATGTGTTTTTAAACATTATTCTTTGCGCTCTATAATCTTTGTAGTTTCGCATGTATTTGGAATGAATAAATTGTAAGGAAAAAAAACATGTAAGGCATAAAAGGTGAGGCAATATAAACGAGCAGGAATCGAATTACATTTCGGCTTGTAATTAACACAATCTACGAGAAATCCATAAGCCATTTAACAATGCCCTGTTACATGCTTCTAATCGGGTGGAAAATAATTTCACGCCAGTTCAAATTCGCAATTGTTGCACATCAGATAAGTATCATATAAGTAGCGTGTTCATCATGGCTTAGTTTGATTAAATCGTATATTTGTTACAACACAGCGAACGTTTCTTGGAATAAGAGTAAGTAGATTTGATAGTTAAGCTGTAGTAGTTATTTTGAATTAAACGTCGCGCTTTTATTTTCCTTTCACTGGTATATTACTGAAATACTTATGTAAAGCGGTAATGTGCCCGAATAACTTTAACAAGCTTAAATTCATATTTATATTTTTAAATGTTATTCTCTGTTGTTTTTTTATTATTTGCTGCAAATAATAATAATCAGTAAAAAACGAACTTGAAATGAAGACTAAGATGCAATGAAATTCTTCATGTATCATTATTAGTTTCCATTCAATTTGTCGAAAAGCTGCATATTATGTTTTTGTGTGTCTTTCTAACCTTGTGTTTCTGACGGTTTATTGTCATTTTCCGAGTGATTGCTGTTTTCCTGCTTCCCGTGTGTATCATCAACTTGATCAGGTACCTTACTGCAAAAATAGAGATTAATAATCGTTATCGTTATCAACAGAGTGATCGCAAAATTTATTTCTTTGCTTCCATCACCTACCTCTGGACGGATATTCAGATATGAAATCTCGGGACGGATATTTAGATATGAACCACATATGACATATATTATAAATATTGGTAAATTTACCTTTTGTTGTCTTCCTTTTCTTTAAAACCTAGAAAAGAATAAATTACAATCAATGAAAGTTACAAAGTTACATTAGTATATTCTATTAAAATGACACTCAAAAGTTTATTAACGTTCATATTTTTTTTAAAAAAATGCCTTTAGAATAAAAAACAAACAAAATATCTGCACAAAATAATTCTGTAGCTTAAACCTTAAACGAGAGTTTTTACTCTTAATTATATATAAAGTGTACGTCTGAAAGCAACAGCATAGAAGAAAAATTTATCAGAAATGTTTAAGTTACAAGCTATTATTTGTTTCCCGTATATTTTGATACTATATTGTTTTTTTTTTTTCTCTTTTAGTCAGAATAAATCTACAGTAATTACTATGTATTACACAGTGATTGATACTCAGGTGGCAATGACGTAACAATCTCATCTGAATCCCTCTTGTCTTTATAAATCTTTTTACGGCCTACAACAAAGCACAGAAATTCTTGCAACAACATTTAAAATATATGTTTAGCGTTAAAGATATCTTAATCTTAGACTATTAAATTTTAGACTATTAAGCTAATACATGTATATTAATGAGCATACAGTGATCGAATTTCCATAATACACATGTAATGCAAATATCATTCTTATTGCATAGAGTAACAAATGTTATACATTTCATTGCATGATGTCCAACAATGCGTTTACAATCATTAGTGTCATATAAATGTTATTACAAAAAGAGGAAACAATTCAAAACTTACAGCAAAAGATACAAATCACACATCCTAAAACGAAAAGTAGGAGACCAAAAACTGCAGCAATAACAATAGGATAAATGTTATCGTCAGTGTTATCAGGTGTGCTCATTCTGTGATCATTTACTAAAATGAATTGTTTTAAACTAAATAAACACAATGTTTAAACACATAGCTATTATAGGCAAAGCAAAACAGAAGCATTTATGTTTAATATTTTAAACTTAAATAAAGTTATTATCTTTAACTGGGAATAACTTAATTTGAGTGTTATATATAAAACGCCACAATCAGTTCATAAAAAAAAAAGAAAATCATTTGACTTAGACTTCAGTGGTCATAAACTCATTACACTAACTGTGTCTGTATAAATGTTTGTAAAAATATACTGCACTGATAAATCTCAAGTTTGTGATATACATAGTATATAAATTATCAAAACAAAACTGTTGGCAGTCTATTATGTTTTGTTATCATTATCTGTTATCTTATTTCATCTAAAAGAACGATAGATTTAAAACGTAATTGTTTACAATAATTTAAATAATCATCATTTTTATATCAACTTAAACCGCTAAGATAGTTTTAAAGTGACAGTATGCCCATCCAATGGTATAACTGAGTGAACAAGTGAATGTCAAAATTACTTTTCATTTTACCATAATTCCTTTCAATATAAAAAAATTATTTCACATTAACAATAAACGACGCATGGATTCAAATGGAATTTTCGTAAATACCCGCTAGAATTTATCTGCAACGTTCATTTCGTTAAAAGAGTGGGGCAGTCTTTTTATATTATAGGCAGATTTAAATTTTACCCTAAACATTTTCCAATATGAACAGTTGGTCAATCACCATTTTAACAGTCAATCTTTTGAAATATATAGTCAGTTCAGCTTAACTTGACTATGAAAATATGAGCATAATGTCACTTTAACAGAAAATGTTTATTTCGGATAGAACACCATCTTGACTTTGTCTTTTTCACTGATTGGGTAGTTGTGCCAATGTTTGTTTTTGACATAACACAAGTTGATGTATCACTCACATATCAATTTTACTACGAAAAAATATATGGATATATGGGAATGTACGAAAACCCGTATATCATTTATATACCGGAAAAAAACCCGGTAAATTAAAAAAAAATCATTCGTATATTATTTAAATTCGTATCATTCTAATGCAAACGGTGATCCGTATAAAAGTTTTATACTGAACTTTTGTTGAACGCTACTCGTATTTTACTAAAATACGGAAATTTTATAACAAGTCCGCGTATTACTAATATAATTATGTATGATTGCTAATGCGGATTTTATATACGAATAGAATACATTTTGTTTGTCTTAAAATAAAAAGTCTGATCAGATTAAGATGAAAGAGTAAGGCTCTTTAAAAATGTTATATTTTACGGGTTTATAACCATGGCAAATCATTTGAAATGCTTGTTTCGCTTTTTCTCCATATACGTTCTGTTTAACGCCCGCAGACATTCATTTACACGATATCAGCATATTTTATGTTTGAAGTACACTTCTTTGAATTTAACAGTTTATTGTAAACTCAGAACCAAATAAGGAACAACTGCGATTGAAAGAAATGTTTTTAAACTGTGTTTATGGTGACTTTTTAAAAGTTAAGCAAAAATATGTTTATTTACTGGATTCAAGCGACATTCAACTGCTCTGATCAAACGCCCACTGAGCTATCGTTTCAAACATATCTGTTGCATACCGTTTAGATGATTAATTAAATTTTAACTTTGACGCTTGCATTTTAATTCAAAAATATTTCGCGTTATGATTTGTCACATGCTTAATGCTTTAATGCTTAGAAGTGAAGTTCTGGATATTGTCCTTGAAATAAAAACCATAATAGTCACAGTATATATTTAAAGTGTGAGTTATAATTAATCATAGTTTTGCAGAAAAAATATGTAAATATACATAAAAGTGTGTTGTCGCATTTTGTTCTTTGCGTCTAAGCTTTCGAATGAAATACAATTGCTGCACTAATTTTTTAAACGGTTACGTCAAAATGATGACTTAAAGATTTAATTCCTTTAATTTGCACATCGACAGCGTAGCTATTGAAAGACTTACGTCAATTTCTCTAATCTAATTTCAATTTCTGTTTCTTATGCTTCATTGAAATTATTAATCATTCTTGTTTTATTTTCTTTTTTTTTCTTCTTCTTTTACCCTTTGTTTTCTTTTTTATCAAACAAAGTCATTAAGATGTCTATATTTCCAAAGCATGTTTTATTGTGATTATTTACAATTTTTTTATTTTTATTTTCTGTTTGTTTGCTTTATATTTTCCAGCAAACATAAAAGTAGATTATTTGGCGCAGAGCGATCCTTGCGTACCAGGGTTGGTGTAATTGTAATCAGTAATCGTAATCGATTGTAATCAAATATTTTTTTCAAGTATTTTATAATCGAAGTCATTTTCGATAACATGTAATAAAATTGTGCCATAAATTGATAAACTTTAAACAAAACACAACAATAAGTGTTTACACGTATGTATAACATAAATGAAAAACATATTAAATGACATCATTCATTGTCAATGCATTTAATCGAATGAAATCATTATGTAAATTTATCATATTTTTTTGCCAAACTTGTCGAAAGTATTTCATTACACAACTCTATAGTGTTATCAAATATTAATCAATTACATAAAATGTAAACATGTAATTGATTAATGATCGATTACATGTGACTGTAGTTTTGTGATTCTAAAGTTGCGAGTCTTTCTATGCTTTCATACAATTTTGTTATTGTTTATAGAATAAAGTGAAGTATATCGCCAAATCAATGTTCTTGCTCAGGAAAATAGGATGTGATATAAGTTGTCATTTAATATAATTTTTTTCCGAAAGAAATAAATAATATTTTTTGACAATTTTCATAAACGAATCTGTCAAATAACAATATTGTCAGATTCTTTGCATCACATGAACATGAATCCCCATTATTTTTCATGATAACAGGTGCTTGACGAGATTAAGAAATACCTTAATACTACACGTGTGAAATAAATAAATGCGAAACGTCTTTAATACCAAGAAATTCTTGTGATAAAATTTAATTTCTTACATTGGTATAATCATAGATGAACTATTTCCTATAAATCGTGTTCAGAATATTCCGTATCATCTCGTCCCCTAGTCTCGAATGTTAGCCCGTCTCCATTTTAGTCAAACTCGTCCTGTGGTCAACGCCGTCCCATAGTCAACACGTCCCCTAACTTAATTCCACAGTAAAACTTATCAAACTATAATTACCTACTTCTCTATGAAGGAAATATCTTAAAGAAACTGTCTCCATATCTAATTCATGTTTATTTTTGCATATTACCTCAAACATAATCAGGCCTGTTTGTAAAAGCTCGACATATAAATTCATAACTATAACCTTCAAAATTATCAAATAGATAAAACTTACTTCGATTCATTCAATCTACCGATAACCAAACATGGTATGTTTAAGTTATGGTAAGAGTCGTAACAGTCTGATTATTACACGTCCCTCCACATACAAAAAAAAATGTGATCATCAGCAAGAAATGAAATTATCCAAACATTTGTATTGAAACCTTTCAAAAGTCATATTTTGGAAATACCTTTTCGTTTCTTGAATTTAAAAAAAATACATCTGTCAACACTTGTTTATTGTTTGTAACAGTTATCAAATATTTTTACTTTCATTTAAACATTTGTAAAATTCCAAGTAAATTAATCTAAATCGAATTTAGCACTTTAACCGAGCGTAAACTTTAAAAATTGCGGACATTCTGTCACTTTGGATTGCTTGATTAACCAATTACGCCTGGATGCGCGGATAAAATTGTTTAACGGCCTTGCATAATTTTTTACCGATAAACCTTCCTTGATACATTTATTCGACCAAACAAGAACAGCAACCTTTCTAATATATATTAAATTGACTTAGCTAAAATACATTATACTTAAATAAACCGATTTGTACAACTATAGAGTTATCAAATCATTATTGCACAAACATACTATTTTTCAATATGTCGATCATGTATTGAACGTAAAAGATTAAGTCAGCGCATGCAGCACTAAAATAACTTAAATAATCGATCTTTAGACAATAAGTATATATCAAGAAGGTTAACATAGATGTACCAACTGAATATTTAATAAACATGCATCGAGTAATTACCCTTAACTTCATATTTTCAAGAAAAAAAAGCATTAAATAAAAAATGCTTTCATTATAAGAAATAACATTATAATACATTTAATTTGTATTTAAAACTAATACTTAATATTATATATAATTTATATCATACCTTGTACCATATACGCATGCTTAGAAGTTAGAGTAATATCATCCAAAGGATACTCTTTATGATGTATTTTCACTTGAAACAGAACTTTTTGAGCCTCCTTTCCCCCTGCTTCAGTGTGGTTAAAACCAATTGTTAAAGATGCAAGTGCATCGCCGGCACACTGATTACATGAAGAGTTATTAGACTCGAAAACGAACCTTCCTTTGTCAATGTCATACTTCCTTTCAGACCCGTCCTTTAAATATAATCACACAAAATGTTGTAAATGTGATACGAAAATATTATGAACTTATTTATGTCACTTATTTACATATAATCTCGTTAACCACTTCATGATAGAATAGTTTATAGAAGTGTCGATTTCCACTGATTGCGCGCTTTTTGTATATTTTAACTCTCAGAAGAGCAATATAAGAATAACGTACTTTGACAAGAAATAAAAATAACTTACACTGACAATGTACCAGGTGTAATTTATCTTCGAATACTGAAAAACACATGCTGTGGTAAACGTTATTGTGCCGTTTGAGTGGTTAGAATTCGGTTCATTCAGTGAGACTGGTGTCGTTGAATCAAACTCTAAAAATATAAATGAAACACCATCCGAGTTAACAAGTTTCCATTTAAAGTAAATTGTACATGCTAATTCACACAAAAGTGTAAAATATTTAACAAAAAAAAGTAGAAATGCAAACAATACTCATAAACTAAGAATGTGTCTATAGGACACATGTGTCTCTAGTCAAAGTGTTGCATTAATAAATGTTTCATATGACATGCAAAAGTAACATTATGACTCAGTTATACTGTTAATTATTCAAGTATTTATACAGGCAATGTGTCAACCATCTATTAGTCATGCACAATCTACACACCAATTATGAAAACCTCAGATCAAAGTTTGCAAAAGTTATTGATCTAACTTTAAGTGGTCTATGACACTGTTACCAACACCTTTGATCTAAGAATCCTAAAATATGGTATTCCGCTGGCCATGACTAAAACCAAATCATAGTCTCTATAAATAGTCGGGTAGGCTTTTAGCTGCTATCAATGTCATGATGACCTTGTTTTTCCTTATGACATGAAGCTCAGTGATTTCTTCTTCTAAAGAAGATCAATGTCAACATTTAAAGACTGTAATTTTCTGCCATTAGTGAAACAAGCTTTATGTATTTCAGCCCAATGACAAACATTCAGATGTTATCTTAGGACTCTCCGCAAAAGTGTTCATTAGTTATTGATCATCTCTCACTCTCCCTTTAAATGGAAAAATACAACGGTGACATTTACCTTTGACATGTTGACCTCAAATCTAATTTCATAAACAGGCAATGAGCAATGTCCCTACAAAGGTATATGATTCATAGCTTATTCCTTTTCAGGGTAGCTTACCTGAAGGTGATGGTCTTGCCGATATCTGAATAGTGCTATCGCTTATGTCCCTGCATGAAAAATATAGGCAATCGCTATACCTATAGTTGATTATAGTCATCCGATAGGATGCTGAGTCAATAGAAAACATAAAGCCATTTATCGTTGGAAAACACTGCTGAAATGATTGAAAGCAGTTCACAAGTTTTGTACCGTTTGGATGAAACCAGGATATACCGTTTCCAACATATTGACACACGCATGTTACGTTTGCAGGTAATAATGGGTTAACAGTGCCACATGTCAGTTCAATATTGCCTGAAATTGTAAAAACAACTGATAAAAATATCAACAAATCTATAAAACAGAATGCACAACACATGGCTTATAATTGTCATAAAACAATACTAGTTGATCGAAAAAAAAAACACATTGTAAATGAATAACTTAGGAGGTATCTCTAAACAAAAAAGATAAATATTAATGCAACAAATGAATCAAACATTATATATAATAAAAAGATTTAATTTGCCGTTTTTTATCAGCTCAATTGAAATTTTGTAATTGAAATAAGCAATGGCTAATTTCGATTCATTGAAATTGATAACTTGATAAAGAATTGTTAACAACAAACACATTGACTGTTTACTTACCGTAAAATCCATGAATTATATGTAAGAAACACAGCAAGGACGGGCCTAATTTCATCCTTAGCCTAAGATAGAAAAAAGGCCAAAAACAGTTTGATAATCTAAACTAAGATAAAAGAGATATGATTTGTATTATGTTGTGTCAATCAATAAATAAGATAGATGCAAAGTAACAAAAGTTGTAAGGTTATAAGTTTATGGTATTACAGTATCCGCGGATATCTAAACACATGCACATTTAATGAAACTGCCATTTTATAAACATGTATTTTTCAAAATCATTGAATGGAATAAATAAATAAATTGCAATAATAATACATTTCTTCTGATATGGAAAGGTCAATAGATATATCCGTGTTCAATATGTCACATTATCATGTTAAAAGATGAAATTCTAATTCATATTCAATTCTAGTTCAGTCAGTGCGAGTGACGGGGACAGCAGCTTGCATTTACCACTAACGTCCACGAAAACGTGATAACTCAATTTGTACGTAGAATAAGGGATCATTATTCATAATGTAAGTCCATGGGAAAATCCATTCGTGAGTCTGACCCTCTATGAAAAATACCAACAAAAAAAAATAAAATAAACACAGGAACCTCCGTATAGGAGAGTGAATTCACTCGATTACGAAAGAATAAAATGACTCGGAATGCACTATCACATGAGCACTTACATTAATTAACCAAACAAAAGCATATTTCAGAGAAGATTGGTAAAGTAAAGACAATTAAGCGTCCGAGTAAATATGATTGATTAAAAAAATCATGAGAAGTGAATTTTTTTTTAAAGTTTTGCATAATCATATTTTTGCGCTTAAAGCAATTCTTACATCTAAAAATTGCGCCGAAATTTAAGGGTTTTTTCCGCTATGTATGACTTAATTCTAATGGCCATATTTTTTGAGTCAAACTCAGACAGAAAAACTGGAAACCAAGCCCCGGTTAAAATTTGGATATATATATTTTGTGTTTTTGGTTGTTTTCTATTGCTTCCCCAATAAAACCCAAAAGTGCTAAGTAGTAATCCGCTGAAATGTTGTTTGTTATTGTTGTGGTTGTTATGTATGTATGTGTGTGTGTGTGTGTGTGTGTGTGTGTGTGTGTGTGTGTGTGTGTGTGTGTGTGTGTGTGTGCGTGTGTTGGTGCGTGTGTGTGTGTGTGTTGGTGTGGGTGTTGGTGCGTGCGTGCGTGTGTGTGTGTGCGCGCGCGCGCGCGTGTTCCTGATGCATGGGGGTATGTGTGTGTGGGGGGTATGTGTGTGTGTTTTTTTTTAATATTTATTTTTTTCATATTGCAAAAGTATTTGTATTGTCAGTTTGAAGTTTTAAACAAGCAGATGTTACATCATTTCCTGCTTGTCTAATGATATCAACAAGGACATTAATGTCTGTTATTCAAAGAAATTTTTATATATTTCGATGTATGGTTACGATCTAAGTTCTATTTGCATGACTGCTGCTTTTAAAAAATCTTTTTGTTTTAAGAAAACCCATTACAACCAGTTCCATAATGTGTTAATTTTGAGACGTAACAGTAACAACCTATATTCTTATTAAGCCTCACTCACACTGATAATTTCACCGTAATATGAATATATTAGGTGTTGCAACAACATCATGCACACATGCAAGGCGATGTTAGATAATTATACCATGTGCTACAATACCAAATGTTCGTAAACATTCCCACTCTTTATTAAATTGCCGTCGCTGACGTCCGGTGACATCAGGTTGGCTTAATTAGTTTAAGTTGCAGAACATTACGTATTGAATAAACTAATATCCTAAAATCGTGTATCGAACTTGCATGCTTCCTTTTAAACAGAGATATCTATAGCGGTATGACACTTTCTGTTTCGTGGCATTCGGCTTCAAACCCGACAAAACAGCTCTTGAATATGTTCAAGGTTCTTCTCCCTGGAAGAAACTGGCCAGTTTTCTACTATCTGGCCGGTCTCGTATCACTTTCCTTAACATTCCATGCATTTTATAAAAGATAAATAAGCTTTATAACAAAGAAATAATATACAAACTTTCGTGACGACATTCCATCCAGATTTTGATCAACACCCTATATATTGTTCTGTAGTAGACATCCTAATGAAGGAAGTTTGTATTTTTCTTAATGTCTACATGTCCAACAGCACATTTGTAGTTTGTTTCAGATAACCAGGGTAAAACCTTATTGCACGTTGGACGCGCCTAACCGCCTCCGTGGTCGAGGGGTTAGAGTCGATGACTTCTAATCCAGTTACCTCTCTGGCGCGGTTTCGATCCCTGGGAGATGCTTTGGTAGTTTAGCGCAGAGAAAGGTAGTCTAGTACTGGTGTAACTCTCCAGGAACAATGGTAAGGAAACCACCCGCCTATATGACTGAAATACTGTTGGGAAAAGGCGTTACGTAAAATGTAACAAACAAACAAATGCCCTGTGACACAATACACCTCATGTTTAATTATTTAAGGACAATGTGTTTTGACCTTGTGTACACAATATCAATTTGAAGTTATATTCAGGAGCAATAGCAATAAACATATAAAATCCGAGTACTTTTGTTCAGGATAGTTATGAACGTAATAACTGGACAATATGACATAAAATGAATGAATAGTTTCATTACATTGCCAATAAAATACTGACTTACTTGATTTTTAATCATCAACACTGTTATACATTCCTTTTGTATAAACTGTGTATGCCAACTTTGAAATCTACATTTGAACAAGTTTAACAGTTTTTTTTCCAATTGTGAATCACACTGTATAAAGCACATAAAATACACACATTTTTATGACAGTATACTGACTGATAACACATTGTTTAAAGTGGACATAACTCTTTGAAAAGTATCTAGACGGCTCAGGATTGAATAAGTTGTTCCCCTTAAATGTTTACTTCATGTTAGGTGTTAACTATTTTACTTCAAAGAAAACAATACGGTTAGAAAATGATATGATGGTCATAAATACTATCACAAAGTTTTAAAACTTTCTATAATTAAAAAAAATATGAATTCTAGCATTGGTTTTATCATACAACAATAGAATTGTGTATAAGCGATTTAACACACTAATTTTTATATTTTGTCGTTTTGACTTGTTTAATATTCACATCTAAAATAGCATACCTTTGTTCATTCAATGACATCCGCGTTATTATTATTTGCGGGATATAGATAATATAAGCTCAAATCTGTCTGATTATGTTTTTTAGCTCACCTGACCACGAAGTGGTCAAGGAAAGGTATAGTGATGGGGCTATGTTCGGCGTCTGTTGACGTGCGTCGTCAACAATTGGGTTGTTATCAGTCGAACAGTCACAGTTTTGATTGGATCATCATCAAACTTTATTAGAATGTTTGTCTCAATGAAATACAGACCAAGTTCGAAAATGTGTTATCTCGGGTCAAAAAGTAGGTCACAGCAGCTAAAAATAAAAAAAGCTTGTTAATACTCTAGTGACTGTAGTTTTGATCAAAATGTTCTGAAAATTAGTCAGGAAGGTTGTTTTAATGATTATTTCTAGGTCAAGTTCGAAGATGGGTCATCTTCGGTCAAAAACTAGGTCACAGAAGGTAAAAATAGAAGGCTTGTTTACACTCTAGTGGCTGCAGTTTTGATCCAGATATTCTGGAAATTTGTCAGGAAGGTTGTTTTGATGATTTCTAGAACAGGTTCTAAGATGGGTCATCTCCGGTCAAAAACAAGGTCACAGGAGCTAAAAAAGGAAATATCTTGTTAACACTCTAGTGGCTGCAGATTTTATCCAAATACTCTAGAAATTTGTCAGTCTTGTTGTTTTGATGATTTCTAAGTCATGTTTGAAGATGGGTTATATTCGGTCAAAAACTAGGTCACAGGAGCTAAAAATATAAAAAGCTTGTTAACATTCTAGTGGCTGCAGTTTTGATCCAAATATTCTGGAAATTTGTCAAGAAGGTTGTTTTGATGATTTCTAGGTCAAGTTCGAAGAAGAGTCATCTCCGGTCAAAAGCTAGGTCACAGGAGCTAAAAATATAAAAATCTTATTCATTTCTAGTGCCTGCAGTTTTGATCCAAATATTCTGGAAATATGTCAGAAAAGTTATTTTGATGATTTCTAAGTCAAGTTTGAAAATGGGTTATGTCCGGTCAAAAACTAGGTCACAGGATCTAAAAATAGAAAAAGCTTGTTTACATTCTAGTGGCTGCAGTTTTGGTTCAAATATTTTGGAAACTTGTCAGGTAGGTTGTTTTGATGATTTTTAGGTCAAGTTCGATCAAAATCACAGGAGCTAAAAAAGAATTAGGCTTGTTAACACTCCTATGGCTGAAGTTTTAATCCAATGTCCTGGAAATCAGTCAGAAATGTTGTTTTTGATGATTTTTAGGTTAAGTTTGAATAAAGGTCATCTATGGTCAAAAACTAGGTCACATGAGCTTAAAATAGAAAAAAGGCTTGTAACACTCTAGTGACTTCAGTTTTGATCTAAATATTTTGAAAATTTGTGAAGAAGGTTGTTTCGATGATTTCTAGGTCAAGTTTGAAGATTGGTCAAGTCTGGTTAAAAACTATGTCACAGGAGCTTAAAAGAGAAAAATCTTGTTAACACAATTTAGTAGCTGCAGTTTTGATCAAGATATTCTGGAAATTTGTTAAGAAGGTTGTTCTGATGATTCCTAGGTCAAGTTTGAAGATGGGTCATGTCCGGTCAAAAACTAGGTCTCAGGAGCTAAAAAAAAGAAAAAGCTTGTTAACACTCTAGTGGCTGCAGTTTTGATCCAAATTTCGTGAAAATCGGTTAGGAAAGTTTTTTTTGATTATTTCTAGGTCAAGGTTAAATATAGGTTGTCTCCGGTCGAAAACTAGGTCACATTGCCCAAATATGGAAAACCCTTTTTAACACACTAGAGGTCACATTTTTGACTCAATTGTCATCAAACTTGGCCAGGATGCTTGTCTAAGACATTGCTTGAATCCGGTTGATAGGTCAGGGGAGCGATCCAGGGCCATCATGACCCTCTTGTTTATTTATTTGTGTGTTGTCAATCGTGTCGTTTCGGTTTGCGAAAAATATGTTATCTGTAATCCAGTTTATAAAGGAAGAAATATAAACAAGGAAATATATTAAACGATTAGGTACTACCTGCTGTGTCATAGAAAGAGTTTAACTGTATAACTGATATGAATTTTAACGCTCAAAGTTAAATAATACTATTGTTTTGAGTTAAATCCAGCTTAACTGATATGGATATATTTTTAAAAATTTTGACATATTGTGTGTTAAACACTGCATATGCAATAGAAGGTAATATACTTAAAACATTCCTTGAAATAAACTATAATCGTAATATTACTTGCATTCCACTATCTTCATAGTCATATATAATTACTTTAATTTAAAATGTGTTACATATGAAAGAAAATGGCATATTTGCGTTATTTGTTAAAGAGGAAACGATTTTATAATTAAAGATTACGGACCCTAATGGACAGTATCAAGAATGATAAAGAAACTTTTTTTTCCAAATATCTGATATTTAAGCAGGTAATTGCCAAATTTTAACGAGTTACTAAATCGTGGCCACGAGATAGCTAAGTCGTGGCCACGAGATACTATGTCGTGACCACGAGTTACTAAGTCGTAGCCACGAGATAGCTAAGTCGTGAATATCTCGTGGCCACGAGTTACTAAGTCGTGGCCACGAGATACTATGTCGTGGCCACGAGTTACTATGTCGTGGCCACGAGTTACTAAGTCGTGGCCACAAGATAGGTAAGTCGTTGCTACGAGATGAATAACCTATCAAATTACACCATTTTTGTGAATTTTCCTAATTAACTGGACATGCGCTATAGTACAAGAATGTCCCTTCTTCACCAGCCTGTAAAAGTGTCATTTATACAACTTATTAACTTGTCAATAATTTTACATTTAGCGTAACTGTGACCCTGATTTTTACCAAATGACCTCGAAATCATTAGATGTCATCTACTGATCAGGTGCAATGATCTTCCTGGGTTATATAAACCATGGCTTATCCCTTCTAAATTATTCTTAACCTTATAGACTATTAATGTATGATGGGCCTTGGAAGGTGATTTCTATTATGATCCTAAAGACAAGTTCAAAGTGAATATCTTCAGTATTTTCAAAGATTAATGTTGCATGAAAAAGTAAACGGTTTAAAAAAAAGTCATAATATATATAGTGTATTCCGATTGGTTAATTATCTCGTGGCCACGACTTAGCTACCTCGTGGCCACAACTTAGTAACTCGTGACCACAACATAGTATCTCGTGGCCACGACTTAGCTATCTCGTTGCCACGACTTAGTAACTCGAGGCCACGACATAGTATCTCGTGGCCACGACTTAGCTTTCTCGTGGCCACGACTTAGTAACTCGTGGCCACGACTTAGTAACTCGTGGCCACGACATAGTATCTCGTGGCCACGAGAAAATAAAAACACACACATGTCACCTTTGTGCCACCGCAGATTTTACTATGATGCTTATTTTATTTGTATAGCGTTTTGATCACAATATGTGTCAATTTTCAAATCGTCCAAAAATATCCATAATCTAACAAAAAACGTGCATCTATAAATTTAAACTTCTTTCGAAGTAAGAACTACATAGCAAGTTATCTAACAGTTGTCAGAAACTTATCTGTAAAATTAAAAACACAATTGAATGTGTTATTCATTTTTATCCCCAACCTTTTTACCCGATATTTACCGATTTATGAGGGTCCGTAATTCTTACAAGTATTTATGGAATGACTATCATGTTATTCAACCATATTCTTTATAATCGAAAACTAGTTTGAACATGTTTTGAGCTTTTTTGTACAAATAAGAACAAGTAGCAAGTATCGTCTTTGTTTGTAAGTGGTAAAAGCTCATGCCTTGAACATGCAAATATGCAATAAGATGCGGCATCGTATGTATTCCCCAACAAAGAATACTGGGATATTAATCTTGTAACAGCCCTATTTACAAAAAAAAATACAGATGAAAATCAATTTTTTATGTATCTGAAGGGCGGCATTTAGTAATTGCTTTGTCCTTTCAGTCGGTAATCGTGCAGGTGTTTCATCTCCAGAACAGCTGGGGGATTTCAGTGAAGCTTGACAGGATCGTTTATCACCATGCTTAGTTCTGCATAGTATCTTGATTTTCTGCTTTTTTGCACAGTAATGGTCCCTAAATGGTCATTTTTGAGTAAAATAAGCTTGTCCGTGCTTCCTATCCAAAACCGCTGGGAGATATCAGTAAAACGTTACAGGATTATTTGTCACCATGCCTATTTGTGCATAAAATCTTGATTTTCCGCTCGAATTTATTTTGGCGCAGATATGGCCCCTTAATGGTTATTCTCAGAGAAAAATTTACTTGTCCGCCTTTCATCTCCAAAATCGCCACGGGATTTCAGTGAAACTTTACAGGATTGTTTGTCACCATGCCTAATTATAGATAGTATCTTGATTATCCGCTTGTATTTATTTTGGCACAGTTATGGCCCCTTAATGATCTTTATGTAAGTAAAATAAGCTTGTCCGTGCTTCATCACCAAAACTGTTTTGGGATTTCAATGAAACTTCACAGGATTGTTTGTTGCCAAGCCCAGTTGTGCAACGTTACTGTTTTTTTTTCAGCTAATTAACTTTTTTCATCCTACAACTCAAAACCTCTTGGGAAATTTCAGTATACATTTTTTAAATTGTTTGCATGTTGTCATGATTTTCCAAGCCTAGTTGTGCACTGTGCCATGATTGTATGCATTTTGTTTTCGAACAGTGATGGACTTGATGATGATTTTTTAGTAAAATTTGTTTAAACTATTACTCCTACACTTCTAATGGAATTTCAATGTAATTTTAAGGAATCATATTTATCAAAGGCGGTCGGGCGTATATTACCGGTATATTGTGGATTATATGTCAAAGCTTCCTTTCGGGGGCACAAGTAACTTACCAGTGACAGCTCTTGTTTAACACTTATCTTTTTAAGCCCGAAATATTTATATTTGAAACAAAATCTCAAAAGAAATTCTACTATTTTTTCAAACAGGTTGAATTGTTGGTTTGTATAGAGTTAAACATATATTTACTTGTACTACATACATTTTAACTGTATGAATGCGTGTCACTTTTAAGAATAAGGACAGCATTGTTTCCAGGATGGGATTTCTGATCGTTTACTTAAGGCAAACAAAAGATAAAAGCCTAAATATTATCAAGTTTTTTGAAGAAATTTAGTGAACGAGTAGGTTTATAGATGGGAATAATGGACATCTTTTATTGACAATCAACTAAAAGTAAAATATCTTTGGAACACAAACTGTAATATAGTTATTCGAGTTTTAATTAAAGACGTTTTCGGTAGTTTTCTGTGCGCATCGTTATGCGCTTCCAAGAAAGATAATCACGGATAATTACTCTTCAAATGAAGGTCAAGTTGAATAGTATTCGGATAAGTGTTTAAATTTCGGCTATAAGCAAATAATGAGTAAATATTACAGATTAGATATTTCTAAATGTTCAAAACGAGATCGGTTCAAAAGAATAACAGGTCGTTTGGACAACATCACATAAAGGGTTTCTCCAAGCATTAGTACGACAGCATTGATGATAATTCTGCGCGCCTTACCCCACCCACTTGTGGTATAGTGACGAAAGTGCGTCGCGACTTGATTACTGGCAGACATCTGGGCAAAGAAGTTTAAAATGATATATTTTAAAAGTGTTGAATAAAAAAACTAAATTAATATCGAAGAAATGTTCCGAATTTCATTAATTTCTTTGTAAATTTCTGAATACTTGCTTACTGTTCGGGTATGTTAGTCGAGTGAAAAAAATAATATGGCCCTAGATATGTTTTAAAAAGATAATTATTTAGTATCATTTACTTAATATAACATCAAAAGAAAAAGAAATTTTTATTACAACATGTTTTTGTTGTATATTTGACAATACATTTAGTATAACACTGATATTTCTTAAGAAAGCGTGGTAATTTTGACAGTTAGCATATGCGGTAACCATGGAAACAGCCCGTTTACAAAAAACTAACACGTCAACATATATATTTTATTTCTATTTTTGAATCCACCATCAAATGTTACTTGATATATCAATTATGTAGAAAATTCTATGAAAGAAATTTCTTGATGGTTTTAATTTTTTACAGAATTCATGTTTATTTTTCACATTTTTTGTTTAGTTAAAAGCATGAAAACTTATTTTTTAAAGAAATATGTTCCAATTATCGTTTGTTTTATGCAGAACCCTAAGATAAAAGCAAGCTTTGTATAAAATTATGTTTATTGTGAGTGTAATAAGCTATTTTATACATTATTATAACACAGTTTGGCTATTTTGAAAATTTTGAGATCTACGGTTACCATGGAAACTGCCATTTTTCAAAAAATCCAACACGCCAACATATATTTTTCTTTTTCTTTTTGAATTTGTCATTAAATTTTACACAACATATAAAAAAATTAGAAAATCCTATGAAACACTTTTTTCAATATCTCTAATTATTCTCAGAATTCATGTTTATTTTTCTCATTTTTTATTCGGTTGAGGAACATGGAAAACTCATTTTTTAAAGAAATATGTTCAGATTATCATTTGTTTCATACAGAATCATTAGATAAGATTATCTTTGCATAAAACAATGCTCGTTGTGTGTTTTAAGCTATCTTATACATTTTCTATTCGTTATAACACAGTTAGGCTATTTTGACAGTTTTTAGATATACGGTTACCATGGAAACTGCCATTTTACAAGAAATCCAACACGTCAACATATATTTTTCTTTTTATTTTTAAATTTGTCATTAAATTTTACTCATCATACAAAAAATTTAGAAAATTCTATGAAAGGATTAATTTTTCATAAAACTGTAGAAAATGTCTTTAAGTAAACAGTATTTATCTTGTTTTGATAGATGTATATTTGAAATATGAAAATGAACAGTTTCTTCTTACAATTCCTTCTATTTTGAAATGCCAATACAATATATAATGTTTTCAAATTATTAGGTGAAGTATCATCTGGACCTTTCATACATCCGGACCAACACGACGAGATAGAAAACAGCACTGTCTCCTTCAGATGTATTACAAAGGACAAAACGTCTCTGATTATTTCATGGACGACAGAATCAAAGGCAAATATTTGTGGTTTTAGTCGAACATGTGACAATATCTTAACACAATCAAGAAACAGTAGTTACAATTGTAATTGTCTAAATTCTAATAACGACGAGCTCATTTTAGATCTCGAAATTCAGAATATAAGTAAGGAAGATCATAGTACCATGTGGATTTGTGAGGTAACTACAGGATCTTCAATTCTCACTAAGTCAGCATTGCTTTTAGTGAAAGGTGAGTGCAAAATATAAACATATTTTTGAAGAGTGTATGTGTTATTAGCATAATTATATGTTTTTGTTGTTGTTTTTCATCTTTATGTTCATAAAACAAGCTGATACGTGTGTCATCGAGCATGATATAAAAGTTGTTTCCCGTAACTGACTTGGAAATATTTGAAATATTATTATTTAAATATTTAACCCTAAATGATTAAGTGACAAACCTACAAATAATAAAGTGACAACCAGTATATCAATTGTAGAAAAAAAAGATTTTCAGTCAAAGCTCAAAATATCATTTACCGCCTGTGCGATTATTTTTTATGCATTTATTTGTTTGTGATGAAGTAAAATTGCTTGAAAAGTGCGATTTCTGTTGATAGTTTTCGTTATGAGTATGATCTATTTCTAAAACTGATAATCATAAAGGGAGCAAATGTTAGTATACATTTGCAAACTTAGATAAAGCTATTATTAGCTGGGGGTATTTAAGCAACCGATGTGGAAGTTATTTCTTTTCATGTCATTTTTCTTATTCATAATTATGGAATGAATCATTTCTTTGTGCCTTAATGAAAATTATGTTATTGTTTATTAATCGTATGTAGTATACTTTTAGCCGCCTGTATTAAAACAATCGATGTCGAAGTTACTTCTTATCATGACTTTTTTTTCTTAAATTTAATTATGGTACGAGTCATTTCTTAGTACCTTGAATAAAAACATTAAGTTTTTGTTTATTTATTAAAAATCATTTAATATAAACGCTTTTACTTTAAGATAATCATCAACATGAAGCATCATGCGGAAGGATTTACTTTCTGCAATGATTTTTAAACAATTCTAGAACAACTTAAATGACATGTAGTATTTTCAACCTTCTTGGTTAAAAATGTCATTATTTTTTCTCTTTTTATTTCAATGGCTTAGACATGTGTTATTACCGTTACTTATATTAACACTGTGTGTTTTGTTGTGATTTGCTTTTCTTTTATGTACATCTTTCATGTATAAATCAAAAAGTGATTATTGTCTTTCAGTGCCGGTCAAATCAGTCGAAATAATGCCAGCCGAAACAATTGTATACATCTCAGAAAATACAAGTTATCAGTTTACTTGCACCACGTCTGTAGGTCGTCCTGTTCCTAATATAAAGTGGATAGTTTTTGAAAAAACAGACGAGGCAAACTATTTGATTTTTGAGGGTTATCAGACTACTCCAAACAAAACTAGTGAAAGCGAAATGCTGTATGCAAACAGTACATTTCTGTACATGGTTAACAGAACTGTCAACGGTTGGAAAATAATCTGCTCAGTTGAAAAGACAGGAATACAAACAGAAGTTAATTCTAAAGCGATCCTTCTCAATATCACATGTAAGCTATCCAAGAAAATATTATTCATTTTAAGTACATTGTTTGATTTTTTAAGAAATAGAGGATATTTGATTAGTTCAGTTAAGATCGGAATATATTTCACCGAGTGAGCACCAAAAGGTATATCAATATGAATTTTTGGTGTATATTTCGATCTAAAACTAAATAAAACAAATTTCTTTTTATTACGAGGGTTGTTCAAAAAGTAATAGGACTGCAGCTCTACTGTTCACATTTTTTTAACATAATTTTATAAGAAACAAATATTGGAACATGTTCTCTATAAACAGTGAAAAAATCAATACAAAATTTTAACAAATAACAATTCTGTGAAATTTTCAAATGACAAGGGGTACGAAATCCGGCGCACGCTGACAATACAATAATTGACGTTCATGACGTCAATAACTAAATACAAAATATAACATGTGTCATCCATCTCTGAAAGCATTCTTCCTAGTGCTCTAGGTGTCTGAATCAAGTGACCATAATCAGGTCTCATATGTGGAGATAAAGCGAGAAAAAAATATCACAATTTCGTGCATCTCTCCAAGAAAAATGCCCGATAGCCGGCCGTTCTCCACTTTTCTCGAATATTTTGAGTAATTAGTCATAGACATAGGCTTAATTATACAGTCGAAATATTAATGTTTTTTTGCAAGTGACTAGGAAATTTTATAAAAAAAAATAAATAGAGTCTATAATGTTCATAATAAATAAAATAATATAAAGTCATATACCTAAATAAAATCTTGCGAGAATTGTATCAAGCTCGTTGGAAGATATTTTTTCAATAGGTCTGTTCTCATTTACACTGGCCGCCCATTCTTCAAATTCAAAGATTTTTTTTAATCACTTCTAGTTTTGTTTACTGTTGCCTTGACCTTGTTTTGTTCAACAAAAGTTTTTGTTTCACTAATGTCTACAGGTTTAAAACGTTGGTACTTAATGGCATCAGTATTTTCTGAATGGCACCACAGTTACCCAAAACATGCATATCCGAAACCTCAAACATCACATTTCCTTCGTCATCAAATAATTGATCCTCAAACAAACTTACGTCACTGCAAGCTTGCATGTCGATAATCCTGTCTAGATGCAGAATATTGCCTGCTATCAGATCCAGAATCCTACCGCATTCGTTCAATATTCTATTCCGGAGAAACGATGTCGTCTGACAAAACATTATCCTGTGTAAAAACCTGTCAGACCCGTACTTTATTCCGCGACATCTGGTTGTTTCATGTCTCGCAAAAGTCGTCGCAGATAGGGTCCCGATTAAAAAAAACACTCAGATTGTATCAACATTCAAAATGGCGGCGCTTTTTTTCTCTGGAAAGAAAGAACACGGGCTTTATGAAAAACTCGGCCATTATGAGATTTGACCAATCAAAATACCCGAATCTCATAATGGCCGAGCTATTTCATAAAATTCCGTGTTTTACCATAATGGCCGAGTATTATGTCATACTGCCGTAGTGAACGCCAGAACAACCCTGACTTTTAAGTCAAAACGCGCCTTATATCGTACAGTTAATTAATTAACTTCTATAAACTTCCGGAAATCATGAAATAATAGCATATATTTATATTCAAACAGGTTTGGATAATGATATACAAAGATAAAATAGACAACAAAGATTTTATACTGCATATATTATCGACCTACATGTTGCCCCTTTTGAGACATAAATAAAAAATGCTCCAACAATACTTTCACTTATATGTACTATTTCAGATCCTCCAGTGTCTCGGTTGATGATTAATGGACTATTTATGGAAAGCGTATATAAAGTTATAGAAAATAGTACTGGATCATTAAACTGCACAGTTGAAGGAGGCAATCCAGAACCGATTCTTTCTTGGAGTAAATGCTTGGGAGCCGACCAAAGTAGTTTTAAATTTAAAAATGATGCATTCATGGAAACATATTCAAACGTGTTAAAATGGAAAGCAATATATAACACAGATATGAAATGTACATGTTTTTGCACGCAGAAAGAGCAAAATCAGTCTTTGTCCATAAATGTGGACATCCTCTGTAAGTTAAATATTTGTGTAATACATCATTAACCTAACATTACTGTTACTTTTCGAAGTTGTATAATAACGAAATTCAGCTAAGAGAATTCAATAATAGTAAAGTATATGTATTGAAACAAATTTGAGTTATTATCGTAAATATGAAAAAATACATTTAATTAATAAATCAGTACTTCTGATCCCGGCTTGTTTATACACATGTAATCCTATTTACAGGTTTTGTAAAAATGCATGAAGTATACAATCATCTCATATGCATAAAAAACATTTTTTTTTCAAAAAGAATTTTTACTTGTATTACTTATTTGGGAGTTCAAATATTCCTTTCTTCCAGATCCCCCTTTTCCTCCATCAATATCATTCGACAATCAGGTCATCACTGAAGATATTTCGGTTATAATTAATACTTCGCTTCCCTTAAACTGTATCAGTGACAGTAGGCCAGCTTCGACATACAGATGGAAATTCAACGATGATTACCTTTCAGACAGTCAGCAATACGTTATACAATCAAATAAAGCAGACTACGGACATTACACATGTGTAGCAACAAATGTGATGGAACCAACAGATGGCAGTGAGAAAATAGCCTCTAATTCCAAATCTTTCGAACTACACGTTCTTTGTGCGTAGAATATTTCACATAACCATTACTTTACTAATCATTACGTTAAGTGATGAAAATGTACATAGTAATCATTGTCAGATTTATATATTATCACATTGTTGATAAAAAAGCATAATGAAAATTACTGTCTACATTTACCTCCCTATTTCTTTAACTGTGCTACGGCAAGCAACAAATATAGGGTATTAAATGTCAGACTGAAAGTAAATATGCCTTGTATATATTCTTTTGACTCATTTTCTTGTATAAGTATACAATATTTTAAAGCAAGTCTTAAGCTTAGTTTATGTTCCAAAGATCCACCAACAATCCATATGATGGAAGATCTGAGTATACTTGAAGGAGCGCCGTTAAACTTTACATGTCCAGTCATCCCGGGAAATCCATGTGACACGCAAATAGTATGGACAACAGCGGATAAAGACGTTGGAGAGCAGTGGCTATCTAAGTTTCTCGAGATATCAAATATATCAAGAAAGCATGATCAGAAATATACATGCACTGTCAACAATACCATGCTTCCAACATTTGGTGCAGAAAAGCATGGGAGAAACAGTAAAAGTTTCCATCTAAATGTTGAGTGTATGTAATACAGTTATTAAATTTAGTTATTCTTTTAGAATTTGCATGCTATAAGTAATTGGTTTCCGACTACAGGGATTCAAATTGAACAGTGTAGAGAGAGAGAGAGAGAAGAGGGAGAGAGGAAGGAAAGAGGGGTAGAGAGAGAAAGAGAGAGATCGATTTAAGATAATCATTTGCTAGCAAAAGCATAATAGTGTAATGTTTGTATCTACCTTAACGTTCAATTCACTAAAATTTTCTTTTTTTTCTATTTTCCCAATAGACTTGGCAACTATAACGGCATTTTATGTGGAAGGATATGAACAACATTTTAACATAACAGCCAATGAAGCAGACAGTCTTACTTTCATCTGTCAAGTTGAAAGTAAACCCGTGTCTACCACTTCAATTTATGTTCAAACTGGACAACCCTTAAGTGTTTCTGAATCGAATTACATTTCGTACAATATTCACTCTGCCATGTGTCAACATACCGAGGCGTATGTCTGTAGTGGACGGAATGAGCATAACAACAACCAAGTTTCAAATCGGACACTGTTCGTTTTCATAAATTGTAAGAATAAAAATTATTATTATAATTTAAATTTAAAATCAGACATGTGTTGATGAATTGATATACCTTTTTCACGTTTTCATTATTTAAAATTTTCGATTTGATTTTAATCGATTAGTTAAAGAAGATACATTGTACGTTGTTTAAAGAATAATATATCCCAAATTGTGATTTTATTGCGAAATAAAATCACTGTTTGGAGTTCGGATGGGAGAAATTATGTCACAAGGGCCTAGCCCGAGTGATAAACTGATCGACATCTGAGCGACAAACAGTGATTTTATCAAGCGATAAAATCACCAATGTGGATAAATTATTTCAATTCTAACACGACAACAACCAACAAATACTGCCGTACCTGATATTAATCTAAATTGCGCCTTTGTTTTCGTACTTTTATTCTCATTGGTAACATTACATGTTTTAATATAGAACGACCATGATTTTACTGCATAATGACACACACTATCGGTCCTTCTATGTTCAATAGGGAAACATTCGGGTCGTGTTTGAATATCTAATAACGGATGAAACTGTTAGAAATTAAACATTGATGGTGATTTGCAATATTACTACTAGATATGTTTTCAAGAGCTACTTATTTCAATTTTTAGATGGGTAGGTAAGTGTTTATCGGCAGAGTATATGTATGCACAACAAAATGTATTAAAATTGAAATACATTCTATTGATCATAACACAGGAAACAAATCTAAATATAACATATTTATACATTTCTATCTTTTCTTGCTAAGGTTCCCCAAGGATTGACCCTAAGTATCCTGTTAAGGAGAGTGTAGCTGTTTCATTGAATGAACCGGTTTTGCTCAGCTTATCAGCACTTGCATACCCTATACCAACGGACGTTTCTTGGCAAAAACATAATGGCTATGTATGGACAGATGTTATTGTGACGAACAGTATCACAATTCGTCGTTCACACTTAAATTATAGTCTAATTATTGATAGCATTCAAGAGGAAAACTTTGGAATGTATAAATTGACTATAGCAAACGAAAAAGGTTCATATGAACAAATATTCCATATCAACGCTGCGGGTACGTTTGACACTATTTTATGAAATAATGCAAAGTAAATCTTTATGTTCTCTATACCTATTGTTGTTTGCTAAGGGGTTAATAAAATTGCAAAATTTACTCAATCAGTTACTCTAAATACAACAGAGAAGCATTTTTTTGTCTTAAACGAAATATCAACATAGAAATGTCTGACTTAATGGCTCTACGACTGTCTTCGTTGCTTTTAAATATCATGTTTTTGGTGTTTTTGTTAGTAATGCATGCGCAATTTGGCAAGATGTGTTGAGAAATTCTTTTCATTTTAATGATATTGAAAGTGAACTCGTTTCTGTTTATCATTTGATACTTATTGTCTATACTGAAACTAAATTTAAACTTATAAAACTTAAAAATTGAGAATTCCTCGCTCAGGCAGAATGTGATTGACATGCGTTTTAAAATATTAAGAATGATATTGTTTCTTGATAAATATGTATCCTACCTTACAAACCATCGTAAGAATTTCATTGATTTGTAACCTAACCTTTCCTCTTAGGAATAGATCCAAGCGCAAAAAGCGAGAAAACTAACACTATGGTAATCGTGATTGGTAGTGTTTCTGGTATAATTGGAGTTGCCTTTATAATAACTATATTGGTGTGGATTTTTAAAAAGAGGTAATAATATAGCTATCGAAATCTAAATAAAAAGGTGATTCTGATAATTTCTCAGAAAATTGTTGTGATATTCGAAAAAGAAAATATATAAAAAAGATAAATGAAAAAATAAATAAATGAATATACAAATAAATAAAAGAAGAAAGATAGCAACAACAACTTGTCAACTGAAACAGAACCGAGTTATGATAGTCGACATAATTATAATAGGTACGGTTATTGACTTCAGATGCATTATGATCTATAACAACAATCGATAATCATCAAACTGTCTTGATATTTATGTAAATGATAAAAATATTCATGACATAAAGTTTTCCTGTATTCATGTTTACAGGCGTTCAAAGAAGGAACACAAAGGAATCAGAATTCCACCAAGGATAAGTTTTAAAGAGTCACTTGTGCGACATACAGCGCTTGAAATGGAACACTTGCAAGAAATAGACGATGCTCCTTTTGTATTGACTGAGCACACTGAATATTACAATTCAATCCAGAAAATAGAGAAAATAGATAAAATAAAGGTGTCAGAATTGTACCAATATGTTATCGGTAGAGATGAAGACGACTTTGCAATCGAGTATCAGGTAAAATACTTCTTTGATTATTATCGTTGGTCAAAGAGGCTAAATAATCTGAACTATGAGTGATATATTCGATTGCGCCCTTTTCATCTTCCGTTAGATTATTCCATGTTTTTGTTATAAGTCTGCCTAATACGTTTTAGATATTATTTATCTTTTGACTAGGAGCTAAGTATTTTTATATACGTTGTTTCAATTTGTTTCCCTAAAACATAATGATGTCTAAGAAATGAATATTATTGATCTGATTCTATTTCTCATGTTCGGACTTGAAAATAATTATCACGATTTATATTTTACTTAACAGAATATACCAACAGATCTTCAGAAACCATACAATTTTGCTACAAAACCTTGCAATTTAGCATTGAACAGATACAATGGAATATTCCCCTGTAAGCTTCAAGAAATATGTTTCAAGAAAGTTGTAAGAAGTGACTTATGTGCAAAGTGAAATTTGTGCCTATTTCACATGCTTCTTTTTTATTTTGCACTATTGTTGCTTAAACATTTATATATTATTTGGAAAAGGAATAGTGACAAATATTATCATAATGGCTTCTTTTTTTTGCACATGAAACTAGTTTCTGTAATAGTTTTAATGCTTTTAGTGTAGGTTATGTAATAAATATATGTTGCATCATTAACCAGCTTCTTTTCTAAACCATATTTTGTCCTTTTCAGATGATCACTCAAGAGTAAAGATTCCTGCTATTCCAGACTTTTTTATGAATGCCTGTTACATAGATGTAAGAAAATGTATTTCAATATGCATGCAAAAGTCGTGTTTTTTAATGTTTCTCAGATGTTTTTAACGAAATAATTCCAAGAGTATTCATTGTAAACCGTACATTATAACAAAAATTGTTTATTATTCATACACAATAACTCTATTAATGAATGTTTCTGACGTCTTTGTTGTAGGGCTTTGAGAGACAACATGCATACATAGCCTCATTAGGTGCGTTTATAGTCTCATCATTTAAGAGCATTCTTTTTTTTTACTTTTTATAGGTAGCATTGAACACTTATCAACAACAGTTTTAAGCTTATCATTATCAACATATGCTTACATCGAATATCTTTTACGAAGACATCTTTTACAATAATTATGACCTTGTTTATTGCTTGAATGATACAGAACTATGATGGGATAAAGTTTATATTTGTTTGAACAAAATGTCGTTACTTTGGTGTTAAGTTAAACAACATCACAAAAGTTAATACTGCACATATATTTTATGATATGTCAACATATTCTTGTTAAATCTCTTTCCAACGTTTATCATATTTTAGTGCAATTGACATGTATTATAATAAAGTATAAACTTAAATTTAAATTTTACATTTTATACAAGGTCCTACGGAAAAAACAACGAACCACTTCATCACATTTTGGCAAATGGTGTGGTATGAGAAATCAGATGTTATTGTAATGCTTACAAATCTTGTGGAACCATCGGTAATAAATAAACATCTGACTATTGTTTAAATTAATGATATATGACACCTTAATATATCTACTAATTAAGTGTGAAACACAAAATGGTAAAAACGTGTGTTAGAATTAATAAACGTTTTTGAATTGAAATATGTTTTGCTTATGTACGTGTCTAACTTGTTATAATGATTTCTTTCTATAATAACCATCTGATATGTACAACATTTACTATCATGTTCCTTTTTTTCCTTTTAAGGGAATGAAATGCGAGCAATATTGGCCAGAGGCAGGTGCAAAAGAAATATATGGGGATATTTGTGTGAACAGCAAAAGACTGGAAACGTTTGCAGAATATACTGTCCGTGAATTTGAAATCTCGAAAGTAAATTATGTTTCATAGGATTTTATTTTAAATTTGAATTCATTTCATTGTTTTAAAACACGTCATTCTTTAAAAACACGTCCATAAATATAATTTTTGACCGATAAAGTACACGTAACAGAAACACAAGACTGTTTAGAAATAATATCTGTGGACATGTGTTTATTCCTACTCTTGGCGTGTATCCCTTTAAATTGGAATAGAAGAGAATAAGTGATATATAGATTTTTCATTTAGGTATGTATCCTGCTTGAGGAAACACTAAAGCGATGTGTAAATTGACTTTAAATCGTATTTTTTTATCTAAATGAATAAAATGCCACTTTTATATATTTGAAATATATAGAAACAAGAAAAGCGCTGTGTTATACAGCTTCACTTTACTGCATGGCCAGACAAGACAGTTCCTGAAGATGTCACTAGTTTGATTGAATTCAGGCAGCGAGTAATTCAAACACCAACAGATTCAAGTGGACCTGTAATCGTACACTGCAGGTTTAATAATAGAATTTGTTATACCTTTTTATGAAATGATTTTATACCGTTTTGTCTCAAGAAACTTGCAATTAAGAGATTACGTTAAGTACCAGTTTTAAGCGCGTAAGTTAAGATATTTATCTAGTATTCATATTTGTTTTGCATATAACTGTGTCAGGTTACTGGTTTGGTTAAATCTACCATTTATATCAACAGGAAGTAAATTACATTTACAACGGTAAAATATAGGTCAAACATTCTTGTTCAAGATGAAATTCGCAAACCGTTTTGATTGCGTGAACTCAATTAGATATTACTGTTAATTATGAAAATTCACAATAAAGTTTCCAAATGTAAAACATTTTTTTTCATCGGTGCGTAAAACTCGATTATCTGGTAAATGAAATAGTTCTATTTTTTTTCCTTCTACGAGAGAGAGTTATTTGTTTTTGATTTCATTCATATAATCACAATTTTTTTACGCACAAAAATAATTTCAGAGACTTAATCATAGTAGTATTGTTATTCAATTAAATAGTAGTAAGAAAATAAATACATGTACAACTCACATTTCAAAACATAAAACATTGACTATTAAATGATGTATTTATAATACCTTTCAGTGCTGGTATTGGAAGGACTGGGACTTTTATAGCATTGGACCGACTTATAAGGGAAGGACAGAAAACTAATGAAATAAATGTATTTGAATGTGTACAGAATATGAGGCAGCAGAGAATTAAGATGGTGCAAACACTTGTAAGAAAGGGCTTGAAATATACAATGCTTTATATTAACATAAACGTATCTATATGTTTAATACAATAATATAAGACTGTATTATATACGTATTTACTGCTGAAATGAAACATTCATGTTACGAATACTTTAGAATATAATATTTTGTCGAAGATCCAGTGCTAATTTTTTCAAAACAAATAAAGATATGAGGATTTATAGTCATGTTATTTTTCAGGAGCAATATGTTTATATATATAAAGCACTGGTAACTGCACTGACCTTCGACTCTGAAGTGATTCCATTATCATCTTTGCACGAGTTCACAGAAGGAACAAGTAATAATGAGTACAGCAGATTGTTTCAGGTTTGGATAAACTTTCAATCAGTTAAAATATACCAAAACAACACATATTCTTTAATCTTAACTAGTTTCGACTGTTGTCTTCATCGGAATCTAAAATCTAAATCTAAACTTTCAAAGCTTTTCTAAAATTCATTTTGGACAATACTTTTGTCTCAGTACCATTTTTGTTTCGCCTGTTTCTTCTGGATCATTTACACCAATTTGATTGTGTTGAAAATTGAATTCTGCATAAGTTGGTGATGGGGAACGTGAGTGGTGTTTCAGGTTGATTTATGAACAGACCAAATTTATCCGAGTCTGCAATATTTTTTCTTGACCTATAATTGCCTATTTTTCAACGTCATAGGTCATGTGTGTCCTTTTCAAAGCACCGAGAATAACTCGGTCATCTGCGATATATGACAAAGAAATAAGACATGAGAGAGTTATAAGTTTCCTCTTAAGCAGTTATATGTTCGAAACATAATATAGGAACGTAAAAGGAAGCAGTAATAAAAAAGATGTCTTAAAGTACATGTCTCAATATAATTTTTAACATTATAAGCAACTAAATCAAACCGTTGAGGCAGTGAAGGAAGATGAGCAACTGGCAGTCAGAAGAAATGAAAATCAGACGAAAGAAAATCGAGTTGGTGCTGACATACCAGGTAAAGATAATTATTTGCTTTATACAGAATTTATTTAGTTCGATTGTGTAGGAAGCTATAGGCTTATAGACACACTTTCGAATCCGTTTCTGGGACCAACCAGCACTGAGCAATGAATGTAAAGTTTCTTACTCAAGGAAACAACGACGGGATTTGAACCCATGCGGCTAGCTATCATTAGATTACTAACCCGACGCGTTAACCAATCGGCCATTTCGCCACACATGATAATTATTTGACACGATAGCAGTATTTCTGTCATCATACACAATACGATTTGGCATCCGGAATATAAACGTATCACCTAAGGACATAACTATTTACAATATTCGCTTTAAAGATCAAATATATAATTCGATAAATCAAAAACAAAATATGTCCATCGAACTGTCAACGGAATTATTAAATTAATTTTATTAAACGTATTTATTGAATCACTCACAATCTGTTGATACGCGACTTTTACAGAAATATAACCGTTTATTATAAGGTACTTGCATATTTATGTTTGCCTACTGAAACATAATTTCTGGTGTTTTTCAGGAAAGATGTTTCGGGTTTATCTACGTTTACGCAGAAAGCAAAACGATTCTGATTATATAAATGCTGTTTTCATAAATGTAAGCGGTATTTACATCACTTTGTTATTTGGATGTATTTACCTAAATTAATTAAGCATTAACAGCACAACACAATTCCTTGTGCGTTTTTATTTGCCTAATGTGTATTAATATATCAATTAAAGAATACAACACATAAACAATATCTAACATTGAGGAAATATGTAAATGCGCATTTAAGGCTTTTCAAATGAATATGTTTGCTGCTACGAGTAAATACAGACCAACCGGTAGAACCAACCAAGCCTTGTTGTAATCAACTTCTCCAATTTCATCTTTATACTTTCAGAGCTTTACAAAACCAAACAATTTTATAATGGCCCAGTCGCCGCTACCTTTAACTGTTGAGGACTTTGTCTCTATGATTTATCAGGACGATTGCATATGCGTTGTCTCCTTGGATGATAGAAATGAATCGAGAATGGTAATTTGTTTTCATTTCATGAACATTGTATCTTTGCTATAAAAAGACTGTTGTTCATACTTAAGAAAGCTAGTTTTACATGAAAAGCTGTCGTAGAAAATATTTATGATATGGATACTTTTTGATGTTTCAGTCGGTTCGGCAATATGTTCCTGAAGTAAAACAAAAACTGACATTTGGAAGTTTCCGTGTTTCAAGCTCCTTACTTCAAACGGAACGATACTTTGTTTTGAAAAAGCTTACAATATCTTATGATGACAAGGTATGCATTTTAGTACACATTAATATTAAACATGAAATGATGTTAAGATACACAAAACATAATATAAACTGCTTTCTTATATACGATAAATAAAATTAGGTTGTTTTATTTATATATTGGGTTTTGAAGCGTTTATACCAACAGTAAGGATGATGAAATGATACAATTTGTTTTTTCTATTTGAAAGCCTAAATCTGGTGCAAAAATTGTATATCTCTACCAATACACACAATGGCTCGAAGAAAAGCGAATTCCAGAATGCACAGAAGACTTTGTACATTTTGTAAGCGAAGTTCAGCGAAAAGCAAGAGAACATGGACGCAAGAAATTTCATATCCTTGTTCATTGTCTGTAAGTTGATTTCTTGTTGTTTATATTATATTTAAACGTGAAAACGGCGTTGATTTCAACAAACGCGTTTGATGAACTCAATCCTAATACATCCATTCCGTTAATGATTTTAATGATATCATAAAAATCCAAGATGAGGTATAAATGTAGGCATTGCAAATAGTTTACATTAGTTTCATATTTAAATATACATGTTGTGTAACCATTATTTAATTATGATATTTAAGTACTTTGCATATAGTTTTGACTGATATATATGAATAAAATTTATCATTATGAAAACAATTACATATAAAATGTTTTTGTAGTATGGCAAACGAGAGAAGCGGTTTGTTCTGCGCGTTGGCAATTATTTTCGAGAAACTGAAGTTAGAAGGTCAGGTCAACATGATGAACACATTGAGGCATCTGCGAACGAGGAGACGAACAGCAATCCTATCAATGGTAATATTATTAATGATAATAACATGTTATTACCGTTTCTATTAAACATTTGAATACTTACACATTTTTAACCAACAGATTAAAGGTCATAAGGCTCTTCTACAGATTTGCTTGTGGAGGAAACTGTCTCTCTGTACATTATTAGCTTCCACACCTGAAAAAAGATCAAAGTCATAGGGGTTCGAACATTCAGCGATGAGAAGCAAGCAAGTGGTTGAAGTCAACTTCCTTAACCATTAGGCCACGGACGTCCCTCAGTAGTTAATCAATTTTGATTCAATAAAAAGAAGGCATGAAAAAAAAATCAAGATCCGCGCAATAATGCAAAATTGTGGATTATGAAGGCCCGGTTAAACTGAGAGACTGTGCACAATATGTCTAATGCTAATGAATTTTCTATTTGTTCATGTAATGTGTTAAACATGGTTTTGTTACCGATTTTAGGAGCAGCTCAGATTCTGTTTTGAAGCAGCAAGTATCTTTGCCGGACTCGAAAGGAACAAATAAAAACAAAGTGAACGAATTTTAAAAAGCAGTTAACATTCAATAAAATTATCAATAAAATATTTTGAATATGAAGTATATCTCAGTCTGTGTTTTCCAATCTATGTGATGAGCAATTTTATCAAACATATTCTTAATCTTAGCATAATATAACACAACATTAACTTAGAAACATCATAATTGTTATATATGCTTATTCATGTAAACACGATTGTATCACTGGATAGAGTACAAATAATATTTTGTTTAAATCAAGTAACCGCAAATAACACTAATGGAATAAAACTGTTTATTATCGTTAAAAGAACACATTGTGATGAAAAATATTATGATATTTAAAAGCAGAACAAGTTAACGTTCAAACGTGAAGCATGTCAATCACAATAAAGATTCACTGACTGTTATAAAGTGAACATGTATATATCTTAGTTTTTTGTTATATTTTTCAAAAGATGACATTGTATTTATAACGTTAACATTATTCGAAATAATTATATTAAATGAAGTGATTTTTCTTTTCAATATCCTTATTTGAAAGGTTTATTAAGTTATTTTTTCTTGAAACTTGATATGATGATATTCATACTTCAGTCATTAAATTGGCAATAAACCTGAAATGCATCACTTTCATTTATCAAATCCTATCATAGTTGGTTTTCTGATACAATTTCCAAACAATAACTCATTGACAATATACATGAATGCTTGTTGCTTCTTTTGGTTGTTTTTTTTTATTTTTATTTTTTTTGCTATTAGTACACTTGCACTGATTAAGTATTTTGTTATTTTGTTTGTGTTACCTATTATAAATCAAACAATACTTTATTATTTAGTCCATTTGGAATCATAGTATTTAATTTATGGATCCAAAAAGATTCTTTACATAACCGGTCCATGTTGTTGTCTATAATTTCTATAGGTAAAAATGAAAAATCTGACAATGAACACTTATTATCGTTTGATCCGAAATGGATCGCAACATGTGAAACTGGATTAACGTCACAATTTCTTATATCAAATCTATGTTTATTCATTCTGCATGATACATTTTGATTAGTCTGACCTACGTATTGCTTTTTACAGCCTTTACATGTAATGAGGTAAATTACATTACGCGTAGTACAATTAACATCATTGTGTAAATCAAAAGAACTACCTGTTATGCTGCTATTAAATTGGGAACCAACAATTATATTGTTACAATGTGAACATCTACTTCGTAAACATTGGCTAGATAAAAATGTGCGATCAAGTAAAGCACTTCTCATAAGATAATCTCGAATGTTTTTAGGACGTCTATATGCTAAAATAGGTTTGAACTTGTTATGTATATTTTTAACGCTTACCTTATCAGACAAAAGTAATAGATCCCAATATTTATCTAAGATTTCACCAATATTAGGCAGAGATGTATTAAAACATACAGTAAAAGGTATTATTGAACTAGTATTTTTAACGACAGGACTTAGAGCATCATTTTGGGACATGCCTTCAATTTTAGAAAACGCTTTCTCAATTATAGATTTAGGATAATTTCTATCAGAAAAATATCTATTTAACGTATCTAAAGACTGCTTAAAAGTACCGTCATCGGAGATGACACGTCTATAACGTTTAGCTTGACTAAACGGGATACCACGCTTACATGATAAAGGATGAGAGGATGTAAAATCTAAATACAAATGCATATTTGTAGGTTTGCAAAATATATCGGTAACAATTTTTCCTGTTCGTCTTTAGATACAGAAACATCAAGAAAAGGTACCGAACTTTTAGAAATATTGTAAGTGAATTTAATATTCGGGTGGAAACTATTTAAGGAATCTATAAAAAAGTTTAGCGTTTCCAAAGAATCATTCCAAATCATAAAAATATCATCTAGGAAACGTAACCAGACATCAGGTTTTACATAAGTAAAGTTAAGAAATTGCTCTTCTAGTCTACCCATGAATAATGAAGCATAAGAAGGTGCCATAGGGCTTCCCATTGCTGTGCCCATGGTTTGTAAATAACTCTGATCGTTAAACTCAAAGCAATTATTATGTAAAACAATATTTAACAATTTCCTTATATCATTAGCTTTGATGTTATTGTTTCCTTTATCTTTCTGTAAAAAATATATACAAGATTCAATACCTTCATTATGAGGGATATTTGTGTATAATGATGAAACATCAAGGGTAACTAGATAGGTGTCTTTGTTTAATTTAAGATTACGAACCTTATTTATAAAGTCGGTGGTATCCTTGATATAGGAAGGCAAACTTTGCATATAAGGATTTAAAATAAAGTCTAGGTATTTCGCTATGTTCTCAGTACTGGAGCTACATGCTGAAACAATGGGACGACCAGGGTATCCAAGAGGAAGTTTCTCATCATATGATTTATGCGTTTTCGGTAAAATGTAAAATTGAGGTGTACGAATAGTAGACGGGAACATGTCAAATTGTTTAGTAATGCTTACATTATTTTCCTGTATTTCATTTACACATTCTTCTATTTTTAACTTAGTCAAATTATGTTGTTCCTTTTCTACTTTTTTGTAATATCGCTCATCGTTCAGTTGTCGATTCACTTCGTCGATGTACTTCTGTTTGTCCATTATAACGATGGTATTGGATTTGTCTGCCTTTTTGATAATAATATTTGTATCACGAGATAGGTCTTTAAGCGACTGGAGTTCTTGTTTGGATATATTAGGACGAAACCGTTTTTGTTTAGAAGAGTGCATAATTTCATTACTTATAGCCTCAATATAAAAATCCAAATAAATGTCTCTCCCGCTAGGTGGGGTAAAGGTAGATGATGTTTTATTATAGAACGGCAAATTTTGATATTCTTCTTTTTGGTTATTATCATCGCTTTCGTTGTTATCATTTTTATACAAATCGTTGAAGTATTCTTTTAGTCTTAAACGTCTTGAAAAATGAAAAACTTCTTCCGCTAATCGAACCTTATCATGCGAATTATATCGTGGACAAAATCCTAACCCTTTTCCAAGCACTATCAGTTCAGTTTCTGACATTGGGCGTGAAATTATAGACAACAACATGGACCGGTTATGTAAAGAATCTTTTTGGATCCATAAATTAAATACTATGATTCCAAATGGACTAAATAATAAAGTATTGTTTGATTTATAATAGGTTACATGAATATTAATATGTTTGTCTATTATCTTATTTTTATTAACACTGTCTAATAGACATCTGTATCACTGTTGATCCATTTTAATTCATGTACCAGCTTTATTTATAGCATAGATATTTGTTTCTACATGTTATCATAGTTTTGCCGCTAAACGCCATAACGTTTTTCGCGCGTTTAACGCGTGTTCCGTTATGACGTCGCTTCCGGTAATTTTATTATGTTTTGCACTGATGAAGGCATATAGCCGAAACGTTTGCAATTAAATCAAATTACTAAATGTTCGTGTTTGTGTGGCTTGTCTGATTATGTTATTTTGTTTGGGAATCGACAAACTAGTTTGTTAACATTTTGCTACCTTTATTTAAATAATTTTCACGCTCAACACTTCTTATTTCAGCTGATAAGCATCACACATGTTCATAATGAGAACCTTGATATTTAATAGTGTGCAAATGAAACACACATTTTTTTTACCGTATTTTATCTCACATATCGATTGACATTCCAAACTGCATCAAATTTCTTTTTCATTATTCTTTCATTAATTGCATTTATAATTATTTATGCCTCAATTGTAAATATATGTATTTATCTTTGTGACTGTACTTCATACACTGCATATCATGGTATAAAATTGTCATAGATGTATTTCGTTTATATAACCAATTGCATGTTGTTATAATATCGTTTCAATATATATTTCTTGGAACCTCAAGAATCATTGTTAGTTACCATTTTTGTCATTTAAAAAAATACAAAGTAGGGAAATAAATGCATTTGTTTTGTTGCAAAAAAAGTTCGATTACTTTCATATGATATTTGTTTTTAACCATTGATCAATATTGACTTTATGATGTCGCAATGTCTTGTCTTATAATATGTTTCAAAATGTTTTATAGCAAATAGGGAAGGATAAGGTAGATGAATAATATGTGTACGTGAAACAATACATATACTTTCTACCTTTTCAAATGTTCACAAACTGTGCCTACTCATTTTATGTAAAACCACGAAATAACGAAGTTTCATGATAAATTATGGTTTTCATAATCATATTTTCACTTGACTTAAAGAGACCTCTTTATTTAAAGGCTGATATAAAATTAACTGTTCATGTATATATAACCATATTTTTTTCTATTCAGATTTATTTTTCAAACTGTAAATATCATGTTGTATCATACACCTGTTATTACTTGAGCTATACATTTCAGTTGTTAATATAAAGTCGAGATGATGAAAATAGCGTTGTTGTGTTTTCTGTCCAATCCTAGAATGTAATTTCGGCTAAATTCGCAGTTATCTATTAATAGTTAGGGTTAAATAAACTTAAATACAAATTAAAGGCTTTCATTTTAAAATTCCTTAAATCCCTTATAATGTGAATATTCCACTGAGCTGAATAAGATGTTTTGAACAGAAATAAAAAAAAAACCAAATGTAAACCATCCCGCCATTTGAAAGTGTTTTTTTTTGTGAATGAGGTTAGCTCTTGTCATTTCAATGGTAACACATTTTAGGAAAGGCATCTAATATATTTTAACAGAAAACACAACTTATGATCAAGTATACGTCTGTATCTGCCATTACTGCATGTTTAACAATCTCTTCCCTATATATATATTATATATATATATATATATATATATATATATATATATATATATATATATATATATATATATATATATATATATATATATATATATATATATATATATATATATATATATACTGCAGACGACAAAAAGAACCAGAGCTCTATATAAAGATAGTGAATGAAATTGTGCTTTGTTGTCGTTGACGCATTGAGATCAGGGAAAACTTAAGTGAGTTGATCTACAATGAAGTGTGACTCGATTGTAAAATTTGATAAAGACACATAGCGAAACAATAGTTCTGCCTCTGAAATTGGACTATACGGAACCTTAAAAGAAGCCTTATCCGAGTTTTGATTTTAATCTTAAAAACGTGTATTATCTGTGTATACTTTTGTTCAACAAACATGGTGTTATTCAAATACTTAAAATACTTATGGTTATTATTTTAAATTAATACAAAAATCAGTATTTTGACAAATAACACTTTCATTATAATACGAATAATTTATATTGGGACATTTTCATTATTGATTCGAAGATACAAATTTAATAAGATGTGTTCAAAAGGAGCAGATGTCCAATATTTGGGTTAGAGATATTATTATTTAATTTGTATTCCAGGTTACATAAATAATATATGCTTGGTAGCCCTAAAGTTGTGTTGTTAAGTTTATATTTTATGGGCTCTTAGATATACAAGGTCTGCATGACAATACACTTGACAAATCATTGAGTGCTCGTTACTGATATCGATATCTTAAATAGCACGAAAGTAGACAAGTGTAGATATTTAAATCAGGTGTCAGGTAGATTTTAGGTTATTTTATCATGTTATCAAGGACATCAATAAAATCTTGCATAACAACATGTTTGTCTATTTGTTTAGCCCAAGACAATTTTGATTTTTTTTCGCTCTATTGTAAAAAAGTATTCAAAACTCTGGTCTACATAGTTTAGTTGGTTACCGTAATGAACACTTTATATAATAAAGATAAACATACACACACAAAAGCCTCAACATGCTTCTGATCGTAAGATATTGTATAACCAGTACAATAATATAATGTTGAAAAATTTTACTAAATGACACTATACACGTATATGATAACTGGATTATTTGGCCTTGGCACTTTGATGTCTCTGACGCAATTAAAATCTGTCACGTAAATTGTATAAGCGCAACCTTGTCCTTTTGATATTTGACCAAACATAGAATATGAATAATATCACGAGATATAAGCAATGAGATTTTTATTTAAAAACACTTCATTGCATTTGAGGAAAATTTATGGAATAAATATAACGAAATTTAACTTTTTATAGCATTAAAACTTTATGTTCAATGAAACGTATTTAAGTATGCAGGCCAAGGTAGAATTTTTTCAATTGATTCGGCAAACAATCTTGACATACGACAGATATATTACTTTTTTCGTTAATAGAAACAACCTTTCCTTATTCTTTCTATGACCTGATATGACAAAATGACACTTGTATTACCTTGAACGGCGACAAGAAAATCTAAAGTATATTTGTTTCCTTTTTGAAGACTATAATAATTTATTGGAAAGAGTAACTTTATATAAGTTTCTGTTCATTTTCAAGTGCTTTGTTTAGTACTATAAAAATCTTATCATGATTATACGCCCTCTGTAGGGTCTCATACTGCGGAAAATATGTCAATTTTAGTTTCTTATTGTTTTCTACTATATTTGTTCGATTTAATCTATTTTCATAAACAATATTTCCTTAATAAATATATAAAAAACATTAGATTATAATAAGTTTCCTAAAGACAAGGAATTTAAACCTGTCTCTTAATTTCCTGTTAAATAATCGGTTTAGAATTAAAAAAAAACATAAAGTGAAAGTATGTTTTCATACTTTCAACGTATAATCGTAAAGGTTGGAACCCAGGCACCTAGTCTTGGCTTTCGACAATGGTAAAAGGGAGGTAACACTATTTAAAATGAGCGAAGAAATTTGAAATAATGTTCAAAGAGTCGTCCTCCTCATTGTGTTGCAATGCGCTTAACCGTGTTTCCCATTCTAGTGTAGGTCATGTTTTAATTTTAACTTCATTTTTGGTTTAAAATATGTTGTTTTTCGTTGTTTACTGCTGGTTTCCAGGAATAAAAACTAAAATAATTTTACATTTCTTATTACCTTATTTTGAACGACCATTTGATATCAAATCAAATAGCATATTTATATGAGCGTTATAACAAATTAATACTAAACACAAAACTATCTTCACATGTGTTTTCACATGAACTTTCGGTCAACGAGAGGAATATTGCAATAGTTGAAACATCACTTTGCCGTACATTGCAAGCCAATAATTTGCGTGCTAATCGTGAAATAATTGTATTATCACTACGTATTTTAATATCATTAACATAATGTTTAATTATAATACAAGTTAGCTGTATTTGAAATTATAACAAAACGTAACCTTAATGCTATCTTTACATACGAAAATCAAAACAAGGAAGAAAAATACCACTAGTCAAGTAAAGGAGAAGTACACATTCACGGAATTTGTAAATGATTGTATGGTATAAGTGCTATAGATTTTCAATTCAAACTGAATTAGTTTTAAAATGAATGCATATCAGGTGCATAGGGATTATGCCGTTTTGTTTTTCCTTTGTTTGTATTCTGGTAGGTACCGTTGCTGTATACCTCTATCGTTATATGTTAATTCAATTGTTACCTCTTACTGAACAGAAACAAAATATCAATTGCACATAAGAAACACAATTAACGTGTTTCATCTCAATAAATATATCTATGGTAATGCAAGTTTAATGTAAACTAAATAAAGTCATAACAATCTGATCGTAGATTTGCTCTGTCGAATTGATGTTCGTTGACATATTGATAGATTATAAACACGGTTTTAATTCGTTAATGCATTGATTACTGTTTCATGTCCAGGAATCTACACACAGACAGTTACATTAACACCCACGAAAGCAGACGTAATAGAGAATGAAAGCATTACTTTAACGTGTTCTTATAATGGAACAAAACAAGTATCAGATTCGAGATGGAGTTACTCTGCCATTTCGACAAATCCAGTTATTGTATTGATAAACGGTTCATGTCTGGCGGCTGGGTTTTTAAACAATACGGCGCTATATTCATGGACATGTTATGAAAACGACTCATTTTCGTTAACGATAAAGAAAGTTGAACGTAAAGATCACGGTGAAACTTGGAGCTGCAGGCAGGAAAACATGGAGAGTAACACAGTTGAAATATACGTGACAGGTAAATA